AATGCCATAAGGCGGTCAAAAATGTTTATTGGACATATGTACACTAAATCATCAGATATCTTATAGAGATTTTAATATTGTGTACACATTTTGTGTAAATTTTTTTGGGTTCCGTACCAAAATTTTTATTTTTATGGTTTTTATATTTACGTTTTTATATGGTTTAAACAAATGTCCTCGAAATTTTCGACAGTATGGAATAACCGACTATAAAATTGAAAAATAATTCGCTTCGTACTCGATCGCTAGGCGATTTTGCAAAACGCATACGTGAAGTTCCAGCAATTTGCCTTAAGGCGCGATGCCATACACCACTAGTTTTTTTTGTATTGTAATTTAGTAAAGTAAGGCAATACACGACTGCATTAGTTAAAAAATAATAATCTGTCAAATTGAATATGATTGATGCGCAATCACTTACAGTTCGCAACCGTCAGATGCATGCGCAGACTGTTTAATTGCCAAATATATAATGTATCTTATATTATTTTAATTAAAAAAAACGATGCCTCAAATATTTTCAATGTCAATTTATGATAAGCGTTTTTTTGTAATTTTTTACATTTATTTCTACAATCTAACTATATTTCTATCATTCAAAAAATCCTAAAAATTGTGGTATTTAGAAACTATGAGCAAAGAGGATGATATAATTTGACCCTATTATCAAAATTTTAATATTGCAGTATTATAACATATGCGTAACAAGAAATTTGGTTGTTTACGGATTCCAATTTATATGAAATCCAATATCCTTTGTAAATGCCGTCATTATGACCCTTCGCAGTTCTCTTCACTATTATTATTTCTGATAATGTAAACAAACAGAGAATAAATGAAACCAACACTACTCTTTATGTGTGTCAAGATTTAAAAGAGCAAAGTCGTTTTTTATTTCGTTCAAGATTTAATTGTTGTATTTAAAAGCCATCTAGTGTCAATGTTTTACATTTTAGCATTTCGGTGAAATTTGGTTTTATAGTGCTCAACATAAGCTTTAAAATGAGTGCTGTTACACGTTTTTTGCGTGTAAAATGAGTGAGCTATCGTGCAAATAAGAAGCATATACGAAGTTTTTTTCTTTTAAATCACTTTCACTGTGGTGGTTCAGTGATGGCTTGGGGTTGTTTTGGATTCAATGGAGTCGGATTGCTTGTCAAAATACATGGAACTTAAAGAAAGAACAGTATCATAGCATACTTCAGCGCCACGCCATTTCATCTGGTCTTAATTTAATTGGCCAAAAATGTATTTTTCAACAAGATGATGACCCTAAACACACTTCCCGATTCTGTGCCAATTATTTGAAGCAAAAACAAGACGAAAAAATACTTCAAATAATGGAGTGGCCTTTGTGGGACGAGCTTAAACGCCGCGTGAAAGATTTGCATCCAACCAGCCTTCCTGCCCTGTGGAACAGGAAGAACATACCTGCGCAAACATTGCAAAAGCAAAGGGTGGTCATATTCAAGAAAATCGACTGCAGTGACATTTTAACATTTTTATTGCTAATTAGTCTATCATTTCTCACAAATTGGTTACAAATCAGTCACTAAATATTAATACTATTTAGAATGTACAAAACTAACTTGAATAAAATTATTTTTATTTGAAAAATATAGTTAAAAACTCAGAAAATGAGATTTTTTTTATGTGTCCGGATACTTTTGGCCTGTACTGTGTATATATATATATATATATATATATATATATATATATATATATATATATATATATAATACACAGTACAGGCCAAAAGTTAGGTGTATATATATATTATATATATATACACCTAAGTCTGTTTTACACGGAGATTGGTTCCAGAAGAATCCGTGTAAAAAAAAAACGTGTAAAAAAAGACATTGATCTTATACAAAAATGGGTGATTTGTTCCTAATCTCTAAAACCTATTAAATGGTAAAAAACAAGAATTTTTAAGAACAAGAATTAAATTAGTGCTATTCACATTGCTTTGACCAGTAAAAATTGTTTGTACGCGCTAAAGGGGAATTCACTTAAATCTTTAAGCTAGTGTTCGCAAACTATCGATACTATCGATGGTTTCAGACTTTTTTCTTTCATAAATACTCTTTTGTGATATGAACATACTTCGCAAAAATTAAATTTGACAAAATAAAATTTAAGTACATAAAATTTCAAATCGTGCTAAATGGAAAAAAATTGTGTAAAAAAATTAACAATATTCAATTTTCAAACCGTGTTTTATCAAAACCGTGTACAAAAAGACCGTGTAAAAACAGACTTAGGTGTATATATATACGAGGTGTGTTCAAAAAGTACCCGGAATTACTAATAATTAAATTTCGCGGGTCTGGAGTGTCTGATTGTCAAAATTTTTTTTTATTGTGTTGGTATACATGCCCCTAAAGTATGATGAAATTTTCAACTATATTCACTGTTTACTTTGTCTGTGGTAGTCGCTAAGGTTCGACGTGTTTTTCTGAGCTCGGCGATTTTTACAATGGAAGAATTGAAAAGTCAAAGAATTTGTATTAAATTTTGCGTAAAAAATGAAATAAAGTGTTGCAAAGTGCAAAAATTCACCAGATATGGCTCCGTGTGACTTTTTCCTATTCGCAAAGTTGAAGAGACCCATGAAAGGACGGCGGTTTTCCTCGATTGAAGAAAATCGCTGAGAGTGCTCAAGGACATATCAAAAAGTGAATATCAAGGGTGCTTCGAAAATTGGAAAAAACGCTGGCATAAGTGTATTATATCTGGGGGGGACTACTTTGAAGGGGACCACATTAATGTAGACGAATAAATAAATATTTTTTTGAAAAAACGAAAATTCCGGGTACTTCAAAAGAGTCAAAGAGAAGCAAAAGAACTCAAATATATGGAATGGCCTCCTAAGTCGACGGATGAGTTGCTGTGGGACGAGTTGAACAGATAATTTTCTGTCTTAAGTGAAAGAATTCCAACCAACTAATACGAAACAGCTTTGGACGTTTCTACTGAATCACTGGAATGAAATAACGACGGAACCATTGCATAAAAATAGGACAAGACGGTAGCATATAGAACACAAATGATATACGCACTAGAGCTGTGAACCGGAGCCGGCCCCAGCGCGGTTCCGGTTCTGGCACCGGTGCTGGAGCCGTTACCCAAATTTGGGGCACCGGTAAAATTCCCTAGTTGTAAGCAGCATTTCAAAGCCTAATTTTGTTTAAAAATTAGTCATTTTGAATTGTTAGAGACCAAATTTAGCGCAAGTGGCATTTTGCCTATGTAGGAGTTCTAATACCGTAGTATCAATATCAATAATTATTGTTTAAAAACACTGAAAAGAAAATTAATAACTTATGTTTTGTTTATTGAATTATCCTCTTAAAAAACATAAACAATCCATTTTTCATCATCGAGCGATGACCGAATCTTACAAATACAACAAGCGGCCGAAAATCTCTTTCTCATTCTACACTTGTCGGCACAATTGTCATTGATATAATACATTATTACTCACTATGGATAAGTACTTGATCAAATCATAATTTGATATGAAAGATTTCAAGGAATTTGCAAACGTACGCATAAGAAAGAAATCATCCATTGCCGAGACCAATCTTATCATTAATTTTCAAACTACTTATCACTCAATGATTTGACACAGTGAATTTTCATAATAATAAAATAATAAAAAATATGAATGATTCATAGGAAGATATACAGTATAATTTTTTTTATCGTGTCAATTGTATATTATGTTTAAAAACCGTTGATAACGAATTTTACATGACATGCGCCACATATAAACAATATCGGGTCTCAAGACGTTCAGTATAAACGAATACTTTGTTTTGCCGCCGCTTGTCGATATTGCCGTCGTACTAGGCTCGATATGTGTAAAACATATTGCGTGAGTTCAATTTTTAACATAATTCTAGTAATAGCGAAATACCAGTATTTTTATATCAATACCGATATTGAAAACCGGACAAAAATCCTCCGGGATCCCGGTATTCGGGATTATGGAACACTGGCATTATAAGACCTATATGTGAGTAATCTTGGAACAAATGATACTATGCGTGTTTTTAATTCTTGCCGCCTAACAATAGAGCAGTAAGATTTGAAAGCGTTATATGCCTGAATTTTATTGACTGAAAATAAAATTTATATTTGTTTAGAAGTTTATAAAAAATTTATTTAGAAGTTTGTGAAAATACATATAACCTAATAATGAAAGCGGACTGAATATTATTCGAATTCGAGAATTGCATTGCATTTATGCCAAACAAATATATAACAAAATAGAAATACACAAAAAATTATTACAAACTTATAATTATATTAAGAAATTCAAAGGCTTAAAAAAACTCAAGAACAAAAATAATTCTGCATTCACTATGTAGTATTAAATCCGAGGACAGAATTTTTTTTCGGGAACGGTCCGGATTTTTCCGGGATCCAGAATTAACTTCCAGTAGGGTAGTTATAGCAATGGGTCAAGAATCGAAAATGAAAATTATTGCATTTCTCGACGTTTTGAAGGTTTCTGAACATTTTCAATTAGTAATGATTGGGAGAAATGGCTATTAGTTTTTGTCAAAGCAGGCCCAGCCATTTCGAAGATACAGAGCTAAATATACAAAAAATGGCAGTTTTTGAGAGAAATGAGCATCCGATTTGAATGATTCAAAAACTTTCTGCTTGTGTTGATAAAACAATTATTTTTGCAAAAAAAATATTTTAAATATTTTTGACTTTGTGATTCATTTCACTTAATTCTTATAAATATTATACACTGTTACAGTATTTATAATAATCTATTTGAAAACATTTAATATTTCTCGAACATTTCGTTACGGAACAAAAAGTTCCAGCAATTTTCCTTAAGGCACGATGCCATACACCACTAGTGAATCCTCAGAATCGGTTCTCAAAAATGACGGTTTTTGACAGCTCTAATTTATACATATATTATATCTTAAAAATATCGTCACATCATGAACTTTGCATAAAAATATAATTTTTTATCCGACCAAAGATGCTAAAACATGCGATGATAATGTTTCGGGTACAACAGGCACGAAAATGAGTTCTTCTTGTTCTTTTCCTCGTTGCTGAATTGACAAGACTCTATAGCCTTTTTCGTCGGCCTCATAGGACACCTGGAACTTTTCGTCGTTCTGGTCTTTGTAGGTGTAAGTTCCGTAAACCGTTAAAATTTGATCGGGACCCACAAATTTACCCTCCTCCTTGCGGGTTTGACCATCACTGGTTTCGAAACTGTGGGAATAAAAGTAGAGTTTGAGTGAAGTTACACTACGACTTTATGATTTTGGCAAGTACCCAATTATATTAAATAACTAGTATATACAATCCTATAAGAATAATCATATACATATAATTTAGAAAAAACTATATATAGAATAGAAAGAACTCAGAACAACAAAACAAAAACTTATTACTATAAAAACAGAAACTAGATAATGAAATGAAATTGTAATATATATATATATATATATATATATATATATATATATATATATATATCTTCTATATATACGAGTATAAAAATAAGTCGGGTTTTCCTTCCTGACGAAATAACTCCAGAACGCACGAACCGATTTTGACAATTTTGCATTCGTTGGAAAGGTTTCGAGCTCCGCAAGGTTTATAGCTAAGAAAATTAGTCGTGCATCGTGTCTGCAAATTGCTGGAACTTCACGCACCGCAATTAAAAAATTCGAGTAATGACATTAGTGAGAATTATCAGAATTGTGCTTGGTTAAGTCAACGAGATGTACACGCACTGAATTTCACTATTCAATCAAAAATTGCTGGCGATTTGGTTTGACTTCAAACGATTGCAATTTCCAGTTCGCCTTGACATCGCAATAACAACTCGCAAGGCCAATCTCTTGATGTTTGCGGGATAAATTTTACATAGATTATTTACAAAATCATTGTTTTTCACATGGGCAGTTATACGTTGCCTGTTCACGAGTTGAAAAACCATCCGCTTTGTTTGTGTTAACGTCAGACCAAAAAACAAAAAAATGTGGTTTACCAAAGATCACTTCCATGAAACGGATAATTTGCGGATTCACTTTCATTTACTCAGAGAAGTTCAACTAAAAACACTTCATTTTTGTAATCTAAATAAATTCATTACTGTTGTGCAATAAAATCAAATTTTTCCTTTTCAAATATAATACAAACAAAAAATTTCTTCATCTTTCTCACTAAACCATCTGGTGGCGAAACGGAGTTTGTCGGGTTTGCTAGTAGTTTATGAAATTAATAATGTTTCACTCAATTTTAATTTGACAAATATATTTTTCATGGTCAGGGGCAGAAGCGATAATTAAAATATAAAATTTATTGGATCTAGTGTTAAACAAATCAATACAAAAAATATGTTGTACGATACTTGGACACATTTGTAAACTGATTTACATTTATAAAACAATATTTTAAAAAAATGTATATTTTTATTGTCAAGAATTATAGAACGCAATAAAATATCAATTAATCAAAGCTATATTAATTGCATACTATAGGTATGTAAAAACATATACATCATAGAAAATATGCTATAAATAAGAATTTAAAGCATACATATTAAAATATTTTGTAGGCTGAAGTATGAAATAATGAGAAATATGTGAATGCTAAAAATTAAATACTTTTGAAATATTCGCCCAAAAATCAATTATATTGCAACAACATAAAAAAGAGTAAATAAAATATACTCGAGGATTTTAATAAAAGCCACAGCAAAGCGTGGCCGGGAGTTATAGTAATGGGCTGAAAATCGAAAATAAAAAAGTTTGCATTTCTCGACGTTTTGAAGGTTTTTGAAATACCTCAGAAAAAATGGATGTGTGTGTGTGTATTTTGTGTGCCTGCATTTTTTAGAGAAGTAAGCATCCGAATTGAATGATTCAAAAAACTTTCTGCTTGTGTTGATGAAACAATTGCTTTTGGAAAAAAAAATAGTTTTCTTTTTTTGTTTATTTAAAATAATTCAGGTTTCAATTTTAGTTTTAGCTAAAGTTTTAAAGCTCTCTTATATACTTTAAATAAATAACTTTAACTTTGTAATTCAGTTTATATAATTCTTATAAATAAATAAATATTAGACAAATGTTACAGTATTTATAATGATCTATTTGAAAACATTTAATATTCTTCGAACATTTCGTTACGGTACGGGAAGTTCCAGCAATTTGCCTTAAGGCACGATGTCATACACCGCTAGTTTTAAATTACTGTCAGTCATTGATGTAACTAGTAACACATTCATCGTCTCCACTATTAGTGCGACTTCATTATCCATATCCCCGAGGGGAATGATTTTTTTTTACGAAGTTTGAATAAAAGAACACACAAATCACATACACGACTACTTGTTAATAAAATTGTATAAACTTCAACTACTGATTATGGATTATACACACACTAATATATAGACTCGAGAGCTCTCGAAAAATACGTTCGTTCGCGACGAAGGTTCGACAAGAAGTCTTTACTGATTCCTGAGTGCGTTTCTTTTTGTGAGATATGTCCAAAAATTTAATCAGTTCTCCATCTTATCAAACGTCTCCTTACTAACTAAGGAATCGATTGTTTTTTGAATAATTGAAATCGGTTGAACCGTGTTTCCGAAATCGTCGACGAAAATTTGTATCCGCACACACGCCCACACACACACATACATTGATAAGATGAATAACTGATTAAATTTTTGGGAAGGTAGATCTAGCGGACACTCAATAAAAATATACTCAAAACTCAAATAAAAATACACTCAAAGTTAAAAAAATGCCATAAGGCGGTCAAAAATGTTTATTGGACATATGTACACTAAATCATCAGATATCTTATAGAGATTTTAATATTGTGTACACATTTTGTGTAAATTTTTTTGGGTTCCGTACCAAAATTTTTATTTTTATGGTTTTTATATTTACGTTTATTTATATGGTTTAAACAAATGTCCTCGAAATTTTCGACAGTATGGAATAACCGACTTATAAAATTGAAAAATAATTCGCTTCGTACTCGATCGCTAGGCGATTTTGCAAAACGCATACGTGAAGTTCCAGCAATTTGCCTTAAGGCGCGATGCCATACACCACTAGTTTTTTTTGTATTGTAATTTAGTAAAGTAAGGCAATACACGACTGCATTAGTTAAAAAATAATAATCTGTCAAATTGAATATGATTGATGCGCAATCACTTACAGTTCGCAACCGTCAGATGCATGCGCAGACTGTTTAATTGCCAAATATATAATGTATCTTATATTATTTTAATTAAAAAAAACGATGCCTCAAATATTTTCAATGTCAATTTATGATAAGCGTTTTTTTGTAATTTTTTACATTTATTTCTACAATCTAACTATATTTCTATCATTCAAAAAATCCTAAAAATTTTCAAATTTTTGTAATTTTTTACATTTATTTCTACAATCTAACTATATTTCTATGATTCAAAAGATTCTAAAAATTTTCAAATTCTTAAAAATCTCAATACCGAATGATCGTTTAGGAGGATTATTCTTTCATACACCATTACAGAAGAATTTTATATATATACTAGATGACCCGACAGACGTTGTCCTGTACACACCTCTACGTTTTTTTAATATCCTATACTAATATTTATACCGTTTAGTTAAAAATAACCGTTATTGTTTTTCGAGTTACTATTTACACCAATATATGAGTGAGTTAAATGTAGTACTGTTTCAAATAAAATGATTATTCTCAATTCCCACAGTTAACACTTTAACTATCCCTTTAACAAATATTAAAATATGTTCAATAATATTATTCATTAAAAATTATACACAGCGATTTATAGAACAAATTTTTTGCAATAGCTCAATTTATTTTATTGAATTTAAGGGTTATACAATATTTTTAGACAAACCTGTAGATGTGGATGTTTAAATGAATGATTGTTTGTTTATTCACGGCTAAAACATTGATTTTCCAAATTTATCACCATGTATTTATTGCCATAGCATGGATACACGTGTTGAAAATTGAAATCTTTTAAAAAGTATAATAAATTCAGAAAGAATTAATATATAGCATGCGCGGTCAAGGTACAATATCACCTTGGATTTTTCTACCCAAAACAATTGCTTCAATAATGTTGCCTACAATTTTTATAATTTCGTACTATATTTTAACTGGCTTTTAGTATTTTAATATCTAAATTACATTTTTCACACTAATCATTCAATTATTATAATTACTTAAGTTCATATTTGAAGTGAATTAATTTGTCAAATTTTGTTCACATGTGCTCTATTCAACCTACTATCAACAAAATTATTGCAGTAAATGGAGAGAAAAAAAGCGTATGCCCAGCTAATCTTAATCTAAAGTTCAGAAGTGAAAACAATTTGCATTTCGTCACCACCACCCGCATTAATTGGATTATAACTTTAATTCTGATTTTATCATAACTTTATTATAGACATTCCGGTTGGACAGCCGCGCACTCTTTAAACAATTAGAACTCTATCAATATTTGTGTAATAAAAAAATAATAAAAAGCAATAATTAGTCAAAAAAATACCTTGAATTTTCATATATATACTTTTATACGTATTCTTTCAGAGATATTATAATGAGAAATTTGGTTGTTATTTTGAATGGATTTTTTATGAAATCATGAGTTTTTTGAAAATAGTTTGTACTAATGTTATGATATTTTCTAGAATTCATCAAGATCTCTCAAACGAAGTTAGTTCTAGATAGTAAACGATTATTTTTAATTTTGGTGGAAATGGCACTTATAAACTATTTGATTTAAATGAAAAAAAAAACATTGTATTCGTCTTTTAATTGCATATGATAGCTTACTCATTTTACACGCAGAAGTACTTCTTCTAAAACGTTTTTTAAAAATATAAAAACCCATTTTTAATTAACTTAATATTGTTCCTGGAACACTGTAAAACAGCGATTTATTAGGATTTTAATTGATATAATTTTGTTTAGTACATGATTTTCGTTAAAATGTATATTTTTGAAGATATTAGCAAAGAACGATGAAAAACGCAAAAAAGAAACAAATTTTCAGTAGCCAGTAACTTGAGAAGTATTTGCTTTTTTGTAAAATATTATTAAACATTTTTCTCTTATAATTAGTTCTTTTATCCACACCCAACGTTATTACACCACTGAAAAGAAATGGCATCCCCCCGGGTAGTGCAAAGGAGTCTAAATTGTTTTCACTTTTGAACTTGAGAGTAAGATGAGCCTATTTCCAAAATTCCAAACGAATTGGAAAACAGTAAAAAAAGTTCAGACCCAAAGCGCTCCATTGAGTGAATATACTCCATTGAGTATACCATATGAATTTTTGACACAAGGAAACTTCTAAATAATTTTTTGAATAAGTAATTTTTTTGTATTGTGACTTAGTATAGTAAGGCAAAACGACTGCAAATTGAATATTTTTGAGCGCAATCACTTATGGCTCGTCTCCTTTGCACGAATTCGTTCGCAAAGTGCGCGAACAAAATTATTGCAAGCAAAAGTAAACCATGCGTACGTTAAGAACACGCTTCGCCGTGCGCGTCAGTCGCATGCGCAGAGAGTCAGACGCATGTTATATTATTTGCATCTTATATTATTCTAATTATAGCGCATCTCAGCTGCTTTTCGACAATAATAATGTAGACATTACATTTTCTTTATTTATAATCATGAATTTATTATATTATAATATTGCCTTAGCCTATAAGTGAATAGAAATGCTTGGCAAATGACAGTTGTCATTTGTTTTTAATGTCAAACCATGCCTTAAATATTTTAAAGGTCAAACAATGATAAGCGTTTTTTTTGTATTTTTTTCCATTTATTTCTATAATCTAACTATATTTCTATGAATCAAAACATTCTAGAAAATTTCCCGAACAAACTTCAGGAAGATTCATGAAAATCCGAATTATAGTTTAGGAGGATTAATGAAACTTACATTGTTACAGAAGAATTTTATATATAAGATATATATATATATATATATATATATATATATATATATAACATTAAACATAGTGAAGAAATTATATTTTCACAGATATCTGTATGAGAAAGCTAATAATAATAATATTTCAGTAAATATTATGTAAAAATGTACATAATATTTATTATTTCGTTCGGATTTTATTTTTGTTAGGTATATTATCCGTCATATCTGGTAAAACAATAGGTAATATTTAAAATATAGAAGCATGGCGTGTTTGCCATACCAAACTACGTCTTTAGTAAATTGGCCGAGACACGCGATGTTGGTATTAAGGCGATCCACATATTTTTGGTAAAAATCTTCAGTGAGCTTTTTTATATGGTCGAGTATTGTCGGTACATCAGTCTGTTCATGTATGTATTTTGTAGAGTAGTAATGTCTAGTCAGTGGGTCTCTTATTTTGTTAAGTACTAGTCGTAGTGTTTTATTTTGTAATGTCTGTAAGTTGGTCTTTGTCGTCGCGTTCCATGCTGGAGCGGCGTATGCCAGTAACGGTCTTATAAGTGTTAAGTAGAGTGTCCGCTTGTTCTTTACGCTTATGTTCAGTAGATTTAACATCACGTAAGCCTGACCAATTTTCGTATTATTATGTTTCATGAAGCTGAGTCTATGGTCCAGGGACACAACAAGGTATTTGACACCCTCGGACCACTCATCTTCATGGCCCATTACTTTCAGTTTTTTCAAGTCAGTCAGTCTAGTCATGGCATTTCGGCTCTTTATAAATAAAATTGCCTCCGTCTTTTGCGGATTGATCCTGATCTGCCATTATGAAAAAGCTTTGGGTCTAGCTGCGTTTATATCAAGTTTTTCAATATTTCGATAGCAAGCAATTAGTATTTTACATTTTATTCTATTAATGTACTTACAAGAATTTATATCCATCACCTTCATGTGCGGACGGAACGTTTTCGTAGCGGATTATCTCCGCTTTTTTCCCGTCGTTCACAGGAGCACTTTTGCACAGAGCAATCATCACGAATATCGCGAATATTGTCTGAAAGACCATAAATATGAGGTAAAAATATATACAAATTATACTATACTATATATAATTATAATATATAAATATACTATACTATATATAATTATACTAATAATATAATGAACTAAACTCGTTAAAAGTGGCATTTTGCCTTGAGGCGAGTTTCGAAAACTTTTCGATAGGTGTAATGATTGACTTAATCAATCGAAATTGGGATTTAGATATTTAGATAAAATTTTCAACTGTTTATTAACTTCCCGTAGGGTAAGTTATTGTAATGGGCCGAAAATCGAAATTGAAATTTTTTACATTTCTCGACGTTTTGAAGGTTTCTGAACATTTTGGCATACTTCAGAAAAAATGGATGTGTGTGTGTGTATGTATGTATGGATACAATTTTTCGCCCACGTTTTCGGGCGTACGGATCAACCGATTTGAATGGTCCAAAAATCATTCGATTCCTATTGATAAGGAGATGTGCTGATTAGTTTTTCGAAAAGGCAGGTCCAGCAGTTACGGAAATAAAGAGCAAAGAGTGCAGAGAATAGAAATCGAGTTTTTGAGAGAACGGAGCATCCGATCAGTGGCGGATCCAGCTTCGGCGTCAGGGGGGGGTCATAATTGAAAAGTTTTTATAGTCCTCAATGAGTATGTAACAAATTTAATATATATATATATATATATATATATATAATATATATATATATATATATATATATATATATATATATATATATTAGATAAAACGGGGCTTAAAGATTCGCGGGTAAAAAGGTCCACCACCGATGTCTCAAAAACAAGTAAAGTTCAGGATTTCTTAACAACAATATTCGAAAGTAGAGGGAAAAATGTACAACCAGCCATCACCCTGATTCTTACGACGTTAAAAAAGCATTTTCACAAGAGATAAATTAAACAAATATTTATTCCAACTCCGCTGGTGAATATTGTGGACAAAATATCAAATCAAGGTTATTTACAGAGTTATCTCTGTAAAAAATGTATCTATAAAATTTATATTTTTCATTGGTTGAATAATGTAACTATTATTTCGTTAAATCCCTTTAAAATTAAAAATAGTAAATTGTATTGTTTGTCCTCTCGCCGATTTTATCCCGCCTATGGGGGACAATTTTTTTTAAAAACAGCAAAAAAACACATTTTTACAGTGATGAATTAGCTGAAAGTTGTACTAAATTCTTCTTAGTCTTATTGGTTGTTAGGTTTTTCGTTTAGTTTTCACAATATAATTGCTCAAAGTTAAATTGTACCCGCCTAACCTTATATATTAACTAGGTGGTATTGGTATTTAGCCTTGAGGCAAGTTACATGAACTTCCCGATATGTGTAAATAATCGACTTAATCAATAAAATATAAATTAATTTATGAGTGTTAAAAGTATTCCGAGTGGATTTATTACACATAATTGAAAACGAACGAACACTTTGACTCAGAGTATTTTCTAAAAGCAAATTTTCAAAAATCAATAATTTTTATAATTGAACCAGTTTCCATAGGACTTTAATCGACTTAGTATGTTCATTAAAACCAAGTACTCTATCGTTATACTAAGTAAATCATCTAATTTCAATTTTAACAAACGTCAACAAAACTACTCATTTACTCAAACTTTGATGAATTTTTAAAATTAAACTACTTGTCGTAAGGCCGTAATATTTCAGTAAGTTCTATAAGACCATGATATACATCTCCAAAGAAAGTTTCATAAAAATCGGCTTAATTTTTTTTTTTACAAGTTAATTACAAGAAAACGGCTCGGTAGATTTTCACCTAAAACTAATCAGTATTATTCCCAACTAATATCTTTCGAACAGTTTTTGATTTTTTATTTTTTTGATTGGACAAAAAGTTTAACACTCTTTTTCAAATTACAAAGAAACTGCTTGGCAGATCGTCTCACAAAACTGACAAACTATAGTGCTCATTGAGATACATCGAATGGCTTTTAAATTTCTGAAATCGATTCAGGCGTTTTTGAGCAAACGTCGATGAAAGGTCTAATTTTGACAAATGCCAAAAAAACGATACCAATTTGTGCAAACGAATTTTTAAAGTTAAACGGGTTGTCGTAGGGCCGTAATATTTTAGTATGATCTAGAAGACTGGTGTTTACCGTCAAAAAAATCATAAAAACCGTCGATTTTTTTAAAAAAAAACTTTATTATAAGAAAACGGCCGATCGATCTTTACCAAAAACTAATCAGCACGATTCCCAACCAATATCTTTCGAACGGTTTTTGAATTTTCAGAATTGTAAACTAAAACGTGGACGAAAAAAAATTCACTTTTCTGCTATTTATAAAGAAACGGCTTGGACGATCGTCGCACAAAAATTTTTGAAATCGGTCGAACCGTTTTTGAGAAAATGTCGATTTACGGCAAAAATTCTGTTCACATACACGCACACACACACCCACACACACATACTTTTTCTAAATTTGGGCTCATGCGAATCAGAATGGCTTGAAACGTTGAGAAAACATAAAATTAGCGAATCGGATTTTTTTATGAAAACAAACTTCTTCGGGAAGTTAAAAATAATCTGCGTCTTTGACGTGAGTCAAAATTTGACCTTTTCTCGACGTTTTCTCGTCTGGACCGATGTTCAAATTTAAGAACTATAAAATGAAACTGGATAAGCCCTTGCGTTGATTAGTTTTTTAGACAATTGGTCGATCCGTTTCTTTACTATTGACAGAAAAGTGCAAAAATTATCGTCCATGTTTTTGTCAAAAATTTTGAACCGTTTTTGCTTAAACTATTCGATTTATATCATTTGGAAATAAATGGTTTCTAGCGAAGATCGGTCAAGTCGTTTCTTTTTCATAATAGATTTGTCATTTCTATTTGCATGGCGATAGAGTTTTTGCTCTAAATGAACGTGCTAAACTATGGCATGACAAGTGGCTTACTTATGATAATTAAAGTTTGGATTATTTGGCCGCGCTTTTAAAAAATTCACCGTGTGTATGTATTCGGCTTCGTATTTCGTATGTGCTCGTTTTCCATCAATGTGTAATATTCAAACCATTTTTTTCAAAAAAAATAATTACTATATTTGAAAAAAAAAACAATTTGCAATCGTTCCTCTCTTCAAAATGGTTTACAGCTATTAGGTATACTTCTCTAAATCAGTCATTATAAACTTCCCATAGGGTAGTTATAGTAATAGGCCGAAAATCTAACGTTTTGAAGGATTCTGAACACTTTGGCATACCTCAGATAAAATGGATGTGTGTGTGTGTTTTGTTTGTCCGCATTTTTTCGTCCACGTTTTCGGGCGCACGGATTAACCGATTTGAATGGTTCAAAAAACATTCGATTCTTATTGATAGGGAGATGTGCTGATTAGGTTTTGGTAAAGACAAAGGTCCAGCAGTTACGCAGATACGGAGCACAGAGTGCAGAAAATACAAATCGAGTTTTTGAGAGAACAGAGTATTCGATTTGAATGAATGAGCGAATTTGAAATTTCGGATGAATGATTTTTTTCCCTAAACTGTAATAAAACATATATTTGCAATACGATTAGAAAATCCTTAAATTTTAGGGTTTTTGACTCCCCCATTCGTCTACAATCAGTTAAATATTCAAGTTATAAAATGTGTTTGGTAAAAAAATACATAAATGAAATAATTATGAAGTAATTTTGTTGTTGAATTAATGTTTTATCTAAGTCCTAAGAGAGGCCCAGGGGGGGTCATGACCCCCGTGACCCCCCCCTGGATCCGCCACTGCATCCGATTTGATTGATCTGAAAAACATTCAATTAGTAATGATTGGGAGAAGTGGTTATTAGTTTTTCGCAAAGGCAGGCCCAGCCATTTCGAAGATACGAAGCTAAATGTACAAAAAATGGCAGTTTTTAAGAGAACTAAGCGTCCGATTCTATTATTCATTTTTCTTTTTTTTTTAATTTCTGGTATATCGAAAATAATTCAGATTTTATTTTAATTCTGACTATAGTTCTAATATACTTTAAACAAATAATTTCAACTCTGCATTTCAGTTTATATAATTCTTATAAATATTAGACAATGTTACAATATTTATAATAATCTATTTGAAAACATTCAATATTTCTCAAACATTTCGTTACGGTACGAGAAGTTTCAGCAATTTGCCTTAAGTTACGATGCCATACACCCCACTAGTTATATATTTTTGTGAAAACATGTATGTATTTATTATAGGAATCGTTCATATCTAATTATGATTTGCTTATAACTAAAATACTCTATATTAAGTATTAATTCTTATTGAGTAAAAACGTATGATTTCTTAATAACAATTATGCCAAGTGTTGAATGAGAAAGAGCTTTTTCGGCGGATGGTTATATTTGTACTAAAATTCGGTCATAGCTTGATTATGAAACTATTTGGTTTGGAATTTAGCCTTGAGGCAAGTTACATAAACTTCCCGATAAGTTTAAATAATTGACTTAATCATTAATTAATAAAAAATAAATTAATTTATGAGTCATTAAAAGTATTCCGAGTGGATTTATTACTCATAATTGAAAACGAACGAACACTTTGACTCGGAGTATTTTCTAGAAGCAAATTTTCAACTAGTTGGTATTGGTATTTAGCCTTGAGGCAAGTTACATGAACTTCTCGATATGTGTAAATAATTGGCTTAATCAATAAAAAATAAATTAATTTATGAGTGGTTAAAAGTATTCCGAGTAGATTTATTACATATCATTGAAAACGAACAAACACGTAAATTCGGAGTCTTTTCTTAAAGCAAATTTTCACAAATCAATAATTTTTATAATTGAACCAGTTTTCGTAAGATTTTAATGGTTTAGTATGTTCATTAAGACAAAGTACTCTATCGTTATACCAAGTAAATCTTCTAATTTTAATTTTAACAAACGTCAAAACAACTACTCATTTTCTCAAACTATGAAGATTTTTTAAAAGTTAAACTACTTGTCGTAGGGCCGTAATATTTCAGTTATAT